AACAGTCACAAGTTCTTAACCTTTTAATTTTATCTCAAAGTAATCAATTTTCTTTAACCAACTAGGATTTTTTAATATTTATCTGTCATGGTTAATTAATATTAATTTTCACCGTTTAGTTTAAGACCTTTATCATAACAAATATGCTACCAGTGATATCTTGACAAAGAGATACTGATTCCCTTGCACATGATGTCAAGTAATATTTTCGTTCTCAAGTAATTAGGCCTAACTAAAACCCACTTAAATAAACGAGACATTTTCTGTTGTGTTTGGATTAAGCATTTACTTCAGCTCGTATTTCGGTTACACTTTGCACGTGATTGCTTTCCCACTCCGTAGATTTAAACGAAACAACGATGGATACCTTCTGAACAGATTAAGTACGGTGCTATGCCCCAATTAGACCTACTGTATACCTTAACATCCAACGTGAAACCATTGACAATTGGATACAGAAGAAGACATCCCATCTATATGGATCATCGATAATAATAGAGATCGATGATATGGATCAGCTGTCGCCAATTTTTTACTAAAAAAGAATGTAGTTGTGTGAGCTAGTCACAGATTGCACTAGTGTCTAAAACTCTATTTTGTACCTTATTTTTTGTTACTGACATAGTTGCTGGGTCACAACAGTTGCTATAGCTCATAATAAGTCATTCCACCATTAATTGTTTGTATGCTTGTTTGATGGTTTGTATTGGTAAAAACCATCATGTAATCGGCAGAAATCAGTAATTTAGATCAGTGCATTCTATAGGTGGCTCACATCAACTAAGAGTATTAATAGTCAAAGGTGAAACCTAACTTTTGACTCCAAACTATTCAATTGGATTTTTATGAAATATATCGAAAACTATTTGGTTTAGTGCAAAATTCGTAATTTACAAAAATAATCTACGAAAAAATTGCAAATAAGAATGATCCTCTGCATAATCTTGTTAAAGAGAATGGTTACAGAGTTAGCTTAGAATGGAAATTTTAACTCGGAACACCAAAAAATACAAAAAATTTAATAAAAATAGAGCTACACAACCTTTTGGGTTCAGTAGAGTGGGGGGTGGGGGGTTCAAAAACGGATATTTCCACCGAAAACTAAAACTCGAAAATTTTGACGAAAGCAATTAATTAATCCTTCCCCATGTACTATGTATAGTAGAAGAAAGTAAAGAAGAAAAAACGGAGGAATTAGAATGAACTTAACAGATAACTGTAAAGTTTCAAAAAGTGTTTTAGCCTGATTGCGCCTTCATCGGGATTCCTTTAGTACTTAAAACAAACTCAAACCACGAGCACTATACTGTGTGTATGTGTGAGAACGACCTGGTAAGCAAGCAGACAAGCACCTAAACACAGACAGATAACACTTCTATCCATATCTCGGGATTTCAGCTCACTCGAGATGGTATAGTGTTAAGTAATCCAAGTGTTCTGATTTTCCAACATAGCTACCTATAGATAAGTTTTCCTTGAATGTTATAGTGACGTTAAAACAATTATGCCATTAAATCTAAATGTTCATATTAAACATGGTTAATGCACACATAAATTCAGAATAATTTTGTATGACTGTATTGTAGTTATCATGAAAGAGTTTATATAAATTTTAATGTAGTATCTGTAATAAGTATGTTTTGGTGTTGTTTTTTTTTTTTACTTTTAAGTTTTACAAGGTTTTACATTAAAAATAACTAATATCACTAAATATAACGCAATGTATAATTCTAATCTTTCGGGTGAATTTATTTTCGCATAAACAAAATATCGGTAACCAGTAGTGGACATTATAAAAAGGCGGTGACACACTATCAATCTTTTCCTCGATCAAGACCCCGGACCAAGCATGGAGAAGGGAGAAGGGTGGTAAATATCAACAAAAATAGAAAAATGTAATTATCAGAAAAATTGAAAAACCATACAGTTTGGTAATTAATTGGATACGACCAAGAGCATTTTTTCAGTTTTAAGGACAACCTAGTTGTATATGAGACAAACTAGAAAGAAATGGCGGTCAGCGAGGGAATTTTAAGATGGAGCTGGGATTCCAAATATTTTAGTGTAAAAATTAATTGTTTAATTCTACTCTTTTTCGTAAAATTCCCTTTGTAATAAATTCCTATGTTATTTGAAATTATAAATAAACATTTTGGTATATAATATGTGGGGTTAGATCTTAAAACAAAAAAGCCTTATTGTTTACAAAGTTGTATGTAGCGTATTAATAATATCTATTGCAGATTTGTTTATAGGCTTAATTTAAGTAGAGTAGGCTTTGAATGAAGGAAGTGGGTCAAAAGCTATTTCCACAAGAATCTATAAATATTCCGATGGCTAAAATTTGTAATTACTGTATAATTAATTTAGAAAAAGCAGTTTTTCATGGCAACGCAATGAAAACCGGTTGTTACTGGTGTACACACTTTTCGGCGGTTTATTTTTTTGTCGGCTTCCGACCGGAAGAGCACTGTCCTATTGGAATCAACCCAGGTTAACACAATTACACAGTAGGCTATACAGTTCCACTGATTGTACAGTAGTGGGGGAAAACAAACCCCGAAGTGAATATAAAATTCTTGAACTATGCAAACATCTGTGTCTGAGTCTTCTGCATAACGTATTATAAATAATACCCTATATTGTTTAGGGTCTATATGTAGAGGTGCTGTGTATAGGTTTCCGGGTATTTGCACCCTTATAAATAACGTTTCGTCACAAAAATACACGTAGACAGATTACTATCACACCGTTTAAGTGCAATCTTTAGCACAGTGTCATTAAAACAATCGGGCCGAACCAACAAGTTGAATTATTACTTTGTATCCATTAGGCATCATCCTTGCAACATAACGCAACAAACACATCGAATTAGGTATACTGTTTGAGTTTTGAATTTCTGTTTTTGTATGTTATGTGTGTAGGGGTTTTTATTATTTAGCACGCCAGCAATTAGCAAACCCTGAACGAAACAGCTAAATTACAGTAACAGCTTAATAAAACAATACTAATAACCATCAGTCGTAGATGGACAAAACTTTGGTTGTGAGAGCTAACGCAACTTGAACAAACTTAACATAAACAGAACAAACTGGTTGTTCGGTTCATAGCTTCCCATTGATACAGACAGCCGTATGCTGTATTCGCTGGTATCCGCACTCGCGTTCGCCAACTTAGGTTTCTTTACCAAATGTGGAAAAATGCCAATTAAGATAGTAATTAACCTTCGGTTTGTGACAATTCCTCTCATGCAGATACGTTACAACAGATTACCCAGGTTTGTAAGAAGGAAACAACAACTTTTAGACAGTCTCTTGACATGCAATAAGCTTTATAAAATTGATAATTTATTTAACTAAATCCCTTCAGAAACCTATTAGTATCCGAACGACGAATACATGCCTACACTGGGGTACTTTATCTGTTTCTGACAACTGGACTGGAACATATTTTAGAAAACTTGAAATTAATAATCAATCCCAGATTGAAGATAGTAAAAATTATTATATTCCTACCCACCAAGACGACCTAAAGGATTTAATTTTTACCTAAATAGGAAAACTAACCACTAAAAACTCTTGAAAATGTGTACCATAGTTTATAAATTAGAGTTGGTACTCTAGTTTGAATTCTGAAGACCTTTGTTAACACCCTTCAGTTACATACGGACATTTATATGTGTTCTGGAGTCCTATATTACAAAACCGACTATTATGTTTCGCAAAGAGGCCTAGACAAAACTGTCAGTTAAAAATTTGTTTATTTTGTTACCAGTCGAGCCACTAGCAGCTATCAAAAGGGTTTCATTTAACTCACTCAGCTTGCTTTTTAATGTTTTTTTACTTTTCAGTGGACAGTCAAACCACGTATCTACTTCATCTTCCTTCATGATACATATATTGCTACAGAAATTCATCAAATTAATCTAGTGTTCCAATAACATGTTTACGTTTAGATAGCTCAGTGTAAACGTATATTGCTGTAATATTTTTATGGTATGTGTAAGTTTTTGTTTGTCAAAATTGTACGGAAACATATTCCCTATCACAAAACTAAACTAAGAATCAAACCAGGTCAATGAATGTTTAACTCCATGATTGCCATGTTTGTATATACTTTTTACTGGTTTTAATATGAACAAAACTCCTAGTTAATTCAGAAGTAAAAAAATGCTGGTATTTGACACTTTTAAATGAATTTTTCCAATAGGATTTTAAACACCAGATTTTAAATACTTCATTAAAGAATACAAACAGAATTTTTATATCTCTGCATACCATACATCAAATGAATATATGGAAATAAGATGAATATTTTATAACTACGTTAAGATGAAATAGTAAAACAAATATTCGATTTACCTAGAATTAAAACTTTCTAAATTCTAGTGCCAAATGTATATTTTTACAAATTTGAAACAAAAAGTTGGTAAACAGTAGTTGATTTTTAATAGCACTCTATAATAATGGGGGAGTCAGATGCGATATTCATTATTCAATTATTTTTTAATAGAAAGGAAAACTAAATTGCAGAAAACTTCTACTTGTAAATACCATTATTTGTATGAACAAAAATCAACATTTTCAAAAATTAAACCCATACTATAAATCAAGTTGTAAAACAAAACAATCCTACAACCAACAATTATTTACGAAAAAAGAATTTTTTCATTAGGTTGTAATAACTCGGATTCGGTTTATGTCTGCCATAAAAATAAAATTGAATGTTTTTGAAATATAATATTAGGATAAAAAAGGGTACAGTTTCTTAACTGGGCTATGCTAATATTGATTGAAACTATCGATTCGATTAGTAAACCTTCATGAGATTTTTTCACCATCAGCAAATTTGGTTGGTTAGGTTAGGTTATGATTGTTTAATTTTATAATGGATATATTTTAAAATATCGATTATTAATCAATATTTTCAATTCGATAGTTTCAATCAATATTAGCGTAGCCCAGTTAAGAAACTGTACCCTAAAAAATTATCTAACCCACCTGATAATTAATAGCAACGCTAGTCCAGCTAGCAGTAGACAAGTAACCAGCGAGTACCTGCTTGCAACCTGCCGCATGTCCGCGAGTAGACTGTGAAATGTCAAGAGATGAGAGACTTGCTCGTGACATGCACACAGCAGGACGGCAACTAACTACCCTACACTGAGCCGCACTTCGACCGACCCACATCATAATATCGTGCAATCACTTCAAAATGATCGTACCTCATGTGAGTCACCTGCTCGACACACATCAGGACGGCAACTAACTATCCTACACTGGGCCGCACTTTGACCGACCCACATCATAATATCGTGCAGCCACTTCGCAAAATGATCGTACCTCATGTGAGTCACCTGCTCGACACACAGCAGGACGGCAACTAACTACCCTACACTGAGCCGCACTTCGACCGACCCACATCATAATATCGTGCAGCCACTTCGCAAAATGATCGTACCTCATGTGAGTCACCTGCTCGACACACAGCAGGACGGCAACTAACTACCCTACACTGAGCCGCACGTCGACCGACCTACATCATAATATCGTGAAGCCACTTCGCAAAATGATCGTACCTCATGTGAGTCACCTGTACGACAGCAGCAGCTGTTCACAGCAGGACAGCGACGCTACCACTTTAAATTCTGATTTCTCACTCTCGTATCTCAGGCGAATTACTTGTCCAATACACTCCAGAACAACAGCTCAACAGCTACACACTGAGTCCACTATAACCGTCTCACAACGAATCATTACGCAACATTATCGTATGTATGTAATGTTACCAGCCTGTGACATCTCGATTTACGTCGAATTTCTGTTACTTACTTGGTGTATGCCGATCTAAGATTTCAACAGCTAGTTAACGTATATTATCTAAACACGGCAACTATGTCAAGAATGTCCGCTATCTCCGAGATTGGAGAACTATGTCGCTCATGTTCACTAACTACTTGACAGAAAATTTGTTTTTATCGGCCTTCTTCCTTGGAAGATGCAAAGTGACTGAACGACTGGCTGTCTGTCGATTACACAGCATCCCCAGTCCAAGCCGGAGTGGGACAACGGTGGGAGAGGGACGGCGGCGGGATAAATTCCCGCTAGGTATTTTAAAACACATGGTGACAAATGTGAGCACCCATACAAGAGCGGTAGAAAACCGCTGACGTCGTCCCACAGCGTTGTTCGATGTTTCCACCAGTGTTTGTAAAATATTGGATTGACCCGCTCGCACCGCCGCGGGACCACAAAATTGTGGGCTCATTCGGTGTCTCGACGATGGCGTAGATGGTTGGGGACGATTCTAGTGCGTTGTTCACTGACCAGTTGGTGGGCTATGTTTATTTTACCGTGTACTTTATGACTTGAATCATAAACAGAACTGCCTTTCGGATTTTCTCAGATCCCGCATAAGGGCATGGTACTCGCCAAATAAATTTCTAGTTTGATTAATTCCATGAACCCAAACGGACCGTCTTCTTACACCTTCATCTTCATCCTTACCTGTTGCTAGCAAGAGCAAAGCATCTTTTTCTTGTGGCCTCAGATTCATAACTTGTTCTCATAAAACACAATGATATTAATATTCACTTAACACCCTGTTGCGAAGCTGAAAATGAACTGAGGAGAAGTCCCACTTTCCGCTGCCTACCGCTTCGGTGTGGGCTACCCCTATTCCGCCACGTACCGCTGCCACTGATTACCGGTTACTCACCCCCTTCCTGCTCCCGCTCCGGTGTGGACGGGACTTTAAATGCGCTCGCACTCGCACTTGACAGTATTACATACAGATGTTTGTTTGTGCGGCGACATTGTTACATACACTACTACAAACTACCTCTGCGTTTGTACCCAAGATTAGCAGCACAGTCATCTCGGCTCTGGGCTACCCTTCCCATCCCACCCCCTCGCCAGGACACAATACAGACATATGGCTGATGGACTATTGCCGAGGATGTAATATCTTTTCTCTCAACTTGTTAATTTACATTGCATAGTTTAGTTGTTCGCCCTCCCCCTTCTTCTTTAATACGTACACAGTCAGGTAGCAGGTTTGTTTAAAGCAGTTAATCACGTAAAAATAAACAATGACTATTGATGATTTGGAAACATTTACGACTATGCCACTTACTTAATTCAAGTGTGTAGCTTTTTGATGGTTCGAAACTGGGCCCTGCTGTCCTTGATCATTGGGTTTTAATAAAATGGCCCTCACTTATGAAATAGCTGGTCTTAGCCAGTAAAAAGCTACCCAGATCATCAAACCCCATTCTACACTCATCCTTCACTCGTATTTGGGTTAAAATACACACATAGGTTGCGTCCACATCTCAAATGATAATAATGATAGTTGTTACTAAACTTGAATTTAAACCTTTTTACACAATACAAAAAAAGAAAGTATTAGTTTCAATGAAATATTTTATTAGTGTAATTTCAAGCTACAACTAATTAAGAAAGCAAAGTAGGATGTTGCCTGTGCAGACGGAATGTTTGTTAGAGACTGTGGCTATTGTTCACAGGGTCACCAACACTAGTAGACCCACTTATCTGAAAGATAAGTTGAAAACTAGGAGAGATGTTAGAGAGAGGAGTACAAGACAGGATGGCCTGCTGCACTTGCCTTGCGTCCAGTTAGAACATGGAAAAATGGATTTTCTTTTTGTTTCTCCTCGGAAATACAACCAACTGCCAGAAAATGTAAAAAAAAACTTAGTTATAAAGCTTTTCGACTGGACTCCAAAAAACGTCTTTTGTAAATATAAGTTAAGGTATTGTTCGAATAAGTCAATTATTGTTATTGTAATATTTCTTTTGTATTGACTTGAGTAGTTTTAAAAACAGTATTGTTACTGAAAACTGCTTGAAATAAAAGACGTTTTTTTATTATTATTATTATCATCAATAGTGACTCTAGAAACTCTTCCGTGTACAATATTCGTAGACTCGCTGCACAGTTATCTTGCACCCCCTCTACACACGGACACGAGAGTCATTGCTAATTAATTCGTGTTTGCACACTCGGATTCTCTCCCATTGTTCTTGTCTCGTGTTTATTTTAGCTTCCGCCTCGTGACAAGTTCGACGTTTACTTACCTTACAGCTTCATTAATTCACCCAACTCTTGTCCGATCGCATTTGTCTACTAGTGTTCGCCGTTTAGCTTCAAGATTCAACCCGCCGCGGTCAATAGAACAAATTGTATCTTACACCAAATAATAGTTTATATTCGAGTATAAATCATAAATAATAATAAATCACGAGATTCTCACCCAGGTCCCAGGTTAAAAATATAAGCAAACTACAAAGCCACATCTTTTTAGATAAGTCACAATATCTATATATTAATAGGCAAGCATGTTTCTTTCAAAACTTTTTTCTCAGCTCGTGTGCATCGCAGGGAAAATCTACGCATACTATAAATGTTAGAAAGATATTTTCCTGTAGATGTGCATAATCCCTTTATAAATTAAAATAGGCTAAAAAAAGCACCAAAAATTAATTTGAAATTTGAAAAAAATAACATGGGCCTTATGGGTTGTCATGCTGGTGCCGAAATAACAAACAAATATAAATAGAAAATAAAAATAAACTAAAGAAACTCCAATCACGTGTTTTATTTACAGAGTGGGTCGAAGTCTGTACATTACATATTTTTGGTCGAGATTTCGACCACTCGACTACCTCTGGTTAATATTATTCAACTAGTAATTTGTAAATGTTAATATTATTATTTTCCCTACTTAATCTTCTATCCTATACTCTAATCCTATATCCTATATATATCCTACTAGCTGTACCCGCGGGCTTTGCCCCGTTTAACTTCATAAGTGAGCTCGTTCGCATGGCTCAATCACGTCCTGGTTGAAGTTCGTTCGCTACGCTCACTCACTTTTAGGTTGGAGCTCGTTCGCTGCGCTCACTTGCCTTCAGGTTAGCTGGTTTACTACGCTAACTCGCCTCCAGATTGAAGTTCGTTCGCTGCGCTCACTCACCTTTTGGTTGCAAATTAGCTGTTGTCATAAATGTAAAAGAAATAATAGTGCTGCACCCTGTTGGTGATCCTTGTAACTTTAATGCTATTAAACATCATAGAACAGAACCAACTTGTTTAATTGAAACAGCTGTTAAGATTCATTAATTCCATTTAAATGTGAGTAAATATGAGGGTTAACATGGGAAACTCCAGAGCCACTGGGGTGGAGCCCGAGAGTCCGATCAGAATAAAAACAGCTTGGTTTTCCTATTTAATGTCTAAAGAATCAGTGTACCAAATTTCAGCCTCCTAGGTAAATGGGAAGTAAGAGAATTAGTGATGAGTGAGTGAGTGAGTCAGTCAGTCAGTGAGGGCTTTGCCTTTTATATAGACGAGAGGTCGTCCAGTGGTCGAAACTCGACCAAAAATATCTAATGTACTGTACTCACTTATCTATTTTCACCCCACACTGTAAATAAAACATGTGATTGGAGTTTCCTCCATTTGTTTTGATTTTCTGTTTATATTTCGTTGTTATTTCGTCGCCATGGCAACGCATAAGATCCATGTTAATTTTTTCAAATTTTTAAACTCATTTTTCGTGCTTATCTTTGAGCCTATTTAAATTTATAAAGGGATTCTGCACACCTACAGGAAAATAGCTTTCTAACGGTATGCGTAGATTTTACCTACGATGCACACGAGCTGAGAAAAAAGGTTTTAAAGAAACATGCTTGCCTATTAATATATAGATAGATAGATACTCTAAATGAGAGCAATGTTTGCTTGTATGTATGTATGTATATGTATGTATGTAGGCTATGCTTGCACCAAGATCTCGAAAACGGCTCCGACGATTTTCTTCAAATGTTGTAAATAGTTTATTCCTGGCCTAAAAACGAGTTTACTGCAGTTAGAACTGCCAACAAGAATCTAATTAAGTAGAAAAATAAAACTGAAACTCACATTTTTTTTACATTAGTCTTATGGGTTGCTAAGTAACCATCTTGGCTGAATTAAATAACAAGGAAAAAGTAAACAAAAGACTTGTAAGTTGTCTATCCACAGTATACTAGCAAAAAAATACAGTACACAAGGAAAAACATCAGTTGTTACTATTGAGCAAAGATTATACTGAAGATTACTCGATTCATTGTAGTCAAGGGTAGCAGTGTGGAGTGTGGGATCTGTTTATGACGAAGAGATTACGGTATCTGCAATCCTTAAATGCTATGGGAAGGGGAAGGGAAGGAAACAGGTCCGCGACGTAGGAAGTGATAAAGGA